GCACTAATGTGAAGCTCTTGACGCTCTGTGCCTCTTTTCCATGTCTTTGTGTTGTGCTGTCCCCAACCTATCACCCCCCTCTTGTCTGTTTTTTTTTTTTTTTTTTTTTTTATTCTTGTTTTTATTTGAACCCCCTTCAGGCGAAGAAGTCTCTTTGCCTTCCTTACCCTACTGCCATCCTGCCTTTGGACTGACTATCTTTTGGCTTTTTATATTAATCCTTGGTAAGTAAGCACTTGCTGGCCAAAAACACTGCACTTCAGGGGCATGTCTAAGCAGAGCCACAGCCGACAGTATTGATCAGAGACACTGTTTTACTCTCAAAATTAACCAAAGTGAGGAGTCACGGATCACCTCTGGATCCAGAGTTCACAAATAAGTCTGGTGGTGTTTTGTATGGAGTAAAACAACAATCCATTTGTCAGTGTGATGTACCTCAGGGTTTACATCATTCATATTTTCTATTTTTAGGTCAATATTTTTTTTTAATATCAATTACAAAGAAAACCAAACTATTGCCAACAAAACAGTCCTTTTCATTCGTCAACAGTGGTCCACATAAAACAAGAGAAGTGAGAGATTAATGGGTCAAAAGCTTTGATCCTTCTTTGTAGCAGTGAAATAACTTCTGATTGGCTATAGGTGTTTTGGTGCATTTCAATAGGGAAACATTGTGGTTTGGGTTAAAATAACCACTTCATCAAGTTTAAAATAATAACCACAGAGTTAAAGTAGTGCAGTGACTGTTTTGGTGGTTGGTAGAAAACAAATAGCCATGTCCTGTTTAAAAGTACAACATTAATAGACCTATCCAACCACCTTGAGCTCCTCCCTGAGTTTTATCCATGCTTCTATAGCCAAAATACACTCATTTATCTTTTAAGAAACTAGTGCCTTCATTGCATAGCACGCCTGCATAGGGATGGTGTGGCTGAAAATGTCCTGTGATGGTTCTCTAATTCTAGCAAATTTACTTAGATTAGATAGTGAATCTAGTTTTTCACAAGGGTTCATTTCAAGGCCTGTGTTGTTTTTCCAGGACACACTCATTTAATATGACTGAATGAAGTAGCCTAATTGCAAAGCCATTGTCTTCTTTTGCAAGTTTAAAGTGAATTAAAACCAAAATGTAACAGGTTTCTTCAATAATCCATGCTCCACGTCGCCACCAAGCTTCAGGATATTCAGTTTGGTACTTATTGTGTAAGAACCGCTACCTCAATTCAGCACAATACATAGTTTATGTTACAAGTGCACCCAAGATCTATTTTTCTGTCACCAGGGATTTACTGTTTTATTTATGCATGGCCTTTAGTCCTCAAATTTGAATACAATTTTGGGTGTGTGTTTATAGCATTATGTTACACTTAATGCACACAAAAATTCTAACTCATCAATTTATTTGGGACTAAACCAAAAAACAAATGTGATGATTTTTAAGTTATCTAGTATAATCAGCTGGGATTTCTTACTATTCATGTTTACTAATTCATGTTTATATGTAGATAAATATCAAATAAAACAGTCAAATAAAAGGAAAAAAAACAAGAAGAAAATATTATCTTTAGATGTATAAATAGATCACTTGCAATTCTGCTTCTGTGAATATGAAATCTGGTGTTCCTCAGGGATCCATTTTGGAACCCTTTAGGTTTTTTTGTGTTATAAATTATTTTTATTTGTAATGTTTTCTTTAGTGTTAGTTGCTAGCAGGAGACAAAACTCAGTGTTGGATTGGACATGTGACTGTTTGTTGACAAGAACCAAAATATATCAAACTTAATATATAAAACATCACCAGACTTTTCTTTAGCATTTTGACACTTCATTTTGAAACTACAGGGAACTCCCGACATAAATAGGTAGTCAGATGTAATTTCTGACATGTTAAACTTTGTCTTGCAATGCTGTGTCTGTGGTTACACCTTCAAAGTCACATTGAGTGTATTTCTACTAACATGTTGGATGTACTTCAGCATGAAGCGAACTCTCGATGCTAACTCCGGCTTTGGTGTCTGCATGCTCCCTGTCTCTCTCTTTGTGGACTTTCTCTTTAGAAGTCTCTTTGTTACTCAGTTGTGATTTCTGTTCTCTCATAGATTGTAGATGTGATGTGCATGTTGATGGATCAAGATGAACTAGCGGATTGTGTTTTAGCATCTCCAGATTTCCTCCCACTTGATGTTTGAAAACTTGGTTGTAAACCAAGGAACTTTCAGGACATCATGAGTGATTCAGGGGGAAATTTGGCCCAATTTAACACAATTTGTGTTAAATGGTTGAATGTAGATACAGAAGTATGAAGAGCAAAAATTACAGAAGATGCATGATTGTGGAGAAACTTAATGGCTCAGTCACACTAGGGTGAAAATAGGACGGCAACCTCCTTGATCTCCTGTGTAATCCAGAGGTTAACTGTGTAACACCTTTAATCTGGGCAATCACAAGATGACTGTACAGGTCGCCTGGCAGGGAGCAACCTGTCTTGAAACGGTCGTATTCCAACTCGGACTGACTGCAATCACTCTCAAAAAAATTGGAGAAGATTGACAAATAAGATCTTGATAATGTATAAATGCAGACAGATTGCCAATATACTGAAGTCTGAGTCAATCTGCACTGATAATTGCAATTCATCTACAATCCATCACTTTGTAATAAGGACCTCAACTCAGTTGGTTGCCAGCTGATTATAATCTGATTATATTCCTACAGAAAAGCAAGCTTGTGTGTACAGGTAAACTGCTGTGTTATTTGTGTTATTTTTAAATCTATGAGATGAATGTGTTTGTTTTACTTTCTGTGTTTGTTGATTGCAACAGATTTGTAATTTAAGCAAATGTATCCCAGTTAATTGCCGTATTATCACAGACAGCTTGCATGTTATTGCCAACTTGACCCAATGTAATTGTAAACTGGTAGCAGACTGACTCCATCTTTTTGTTGTTTTAATGCTGTGTTGACACTTTGAAGCCAGCAACTGACTGAATGGTTGCAGACGTGGTCCCTTTTTTCCAAAGCAAATTTCCAAAGCAAATTCAAAAATTATTTCAGAGGCAAGGCAAGTTCATTGCACACTTTTGCAGTAATTAAGGTTGTGCCATGGTTTGTTTTCCTTAGTGTGACTGTAGCATTAAGCAGGTAGCAGATCTAGATGAAGACGATACTTGTGAGCATGACATTGTCTTGCTTTGATGGGTCGACTTATTTTGAAGTTCTGCTTTGTTGGGTTGGACCGATGCTTGGGTTCGGTACTGGCGTTATATGCAAAAGTGATTTGTGTGAATCTATCTTACTGAAGATAGACCATAACCATAACCCTAGTCCTTTTATTATTGCGTAGATATATGACAGAATAGGAACCTCAATAAGATTTCAGTTAGGCAAAAATGTCTAAAAACTACAACCCATCATTTTATCTGGGACTAAATCCAAAACAAAATGACTTGGTGCTTTTATGCAATTCAGTAAGTGACTGGAATAATTAATGTACAGTTTAGTTGGAAATTATCCATCGGAATTTCAGGACCAGGACCAAGCCTCCAAACATGCTCCTTCCGGTTGTCATCTATATAGGTTCCCCCAGTTCTGCAAGCTGTTCATTCTGGTTTACGTGCCCCACCCTCCCTCCCTTCTTGTTCTCAGTTCTTTAACTTCTTCATTTCTATTTAGTACATGGGCATCTGCCAGGCCTGGGAGCCATCGCCAGTCCCCTTCGAGGCTTTCCCCAAACCGCAGCTCAATTCATGTCAAAGCATTCATTTTTACCCACTAAAACACTGTCAAATCTAAAATGAGGACGTGGGCCCAGCTAGTGAAATATTTTATTGTTGCCATGGTGCATCATAAAAAAAAAAACTAATACTGAAAGAGGAAATTATATTTGCTCATTCATCATAACCTGGAAATTTTGTTCACGCCAAAAAATGAAATGTGAGATCTAGTCTAGAATAAAATAGAATCCAACCTGTGGCCCTTTGCTGCATGTGTTCCCCTCTCTCTCTCCTGCCGCTTTCCTGTCACTCTTCACTGCTTCTATCAAAAAAGGCCCAAAAAAGAAATAATATTTCTAATTTTTGTCAGTAAAAATGAAGTGATTATTGATAACATTTAAATACTTTTTAAGAAAGATATTTGGTGTTTTACAGTATCAAATGTCTTAATATTTTAAGCATTGTGGCAGTTCACAAATTTGATCTAAAATAGACCATTTATTTATTTATTTATTTATTAATAACCACAGAACGATAATTCAAGAAATGTATACAGGAAATGCTTTAAATAGAATATTCTACCTGCCCATGACTCTTAACTGTGGAACTAAAGTCTGAACCTTCAGCCTCTGGGGCGCAAATAGGCACAAACACTGAAAACCTCCAGTTCCTCTCATCTCTAGCAGAGGCTGCAATCACAGAATTCTAACATGGTGAGCGAAAGCTCCAGGCGATCCAGGAGAGAAGAACAACTGCTGCCTAGTCAAAAACCCTTAGCGATCCCTTATGTGTCAGGAGTATTGGAACAGTCGACACGCATTTTACTCTGAACACACTGCGCCAAAAATTAGGTCCCCTGGCACAAACAGTGTAATATAGTGTACCCTGTTAACTCCCAGGAGGATTGCTGTGATTTATACTTGAGGGAAACAAACAACCTCTGGCGAAGCGGATGGCACGACACAGAAGAGCTACCTCATCAAGCAGGACTTCACAGTCTGTTTACGCCTACAGGCCAGTGGACACTGTTTCAATGATGAGGATGTAACATCCTGGACAGGGAGGAACGCTGGTGTGAGCGCGGCGTCAAGGAGGCCATTTACATGAAAAGGGAAAGAATATCTCTGAATTGAAGACGGGGCCTAAGGGTACATCTGTCACCATCTTACAATACTGTGATTGTTACTGATGGCCATTGATCAGTTGTCATTGATCAAAGGTCTTTGATCAGTGGTTGTTGATCAATGGTCATGACAATTTGGATATTTATCATCAAGAAACTACGCTACATCCACATGAGCAGAATCAACTTTTTAGACTCCCGTGTTAAAACTTTACAGCAGAAACAAACATGCTTACAGCCTTATACACAAACTGTTTTCATCTCTATAGGTGATTTCCCCTTCATAACAACTGTATTAAACTTATTACAAAAAAAAACAAAAAAACAAAAACAAACTTATTACATACTTATTACATATTGAAGAAGATTTTAACAGTTTAAGTGGGGCACATATCAGGAGTCAGAGACAAATATGAAACTGTTAGGGGTGAAATTTTATATGTTGTTATAACCCACATGTTTAAATTGTAATATGGCTTAAAATTTCTATTATTAGGGGTGTGGCCTCTTTGATTGTCAGGTATATGGAAACACAGGAAGGTGTAGCAGCTAGCTGTCTGCTAGGCTTCACCTCAGCTAATTGGAGTCCTTGAACTGAACCTCTGGATCGTGTTTGTTCTGCTGGAGCTTTTTGGGTTTAATGAGCAATTTACAAACGAACTGAAAACAAACCACACAGCAGGGGGAGATGCTACATTAAGGGGTAAAAACCTGCATCGGTCAAAGCCCAACATGAGCTAATGATGTGAATGAAGGAGGGGTCAGAAATCATCACAAGGACTTGACATGTTTGTATTTTATAGGAGCAAGACTGCTTTAAAGAAACGGAAGCTAACAAGGTAACGACGACTGCATGCAGCTTTCAGCCTGTGGGCTTCATCTTTCTGTGTGTGTGTGTGCGTGTGTTCACCACTAATACCATCCTTCAGCCAGAAAACAGTTTTATCCAGCAGTCTCCTGAGAAATTGAACCAACATTAACTGTGTACTCAGAGGGATTTCTGACTTTTGTGGGTGTTGAAAGGTTTGTTAATAAATTATTTCAGGTGCATGAAATTGCTCATGCTTTACCTTAGTGATGAACTCATTAATGCATTGCAAGAACTTCGACCTTTAGGTGGCAACAGATACATTTTTGCTCCATCTTATTATTACTATGGAGTAAGTGTTCCCTGTGCATTGTAGTACCTATGTGTTAATTACCTGTTTATGCTGGTTACCTGTAACAGTGTTTTAAGAACCAATGCAAAGTTTTTGGTGATCAACAAATGTAAAAGAAGTCTGAAGCCTGACGTTTCTGATACTGTCCAACTTTCTTCAAACTGCCATCTATCCACCTATCTTCTTAACCACCTTCCTAGTACCTATCTACCTACCTACCTAATTACCTCCCTACCCATCTTCCTGCCTTACTATATGCCTACCTTCCTGACTCCCTTCCTTTCTACCTACCTATGTTACCCTTTCCCTCCCCAAATCCCTGTTATTCCCTTACTGCCTACCTAACTCTCTCCTTAATTACATCTATCTGCCTGCCTACCTCCCTTTTATCTTCATTATCTTTCTACCTTTCCTTCCTACCTCCACGTATACCTCTCTACGTTTCTTCTCATCTTCCTATCTACTAGGGGTGCAACGATACACAAAATTCATGGTTCGGTTCGGTTCGATACTTTGGTGTCACGGTTCGTGATTTTTTTTGATACAAAAAAAAAGTTCATCCCTTTTTAATTTGTCATTTATTAAAATTATAAATATATATTTTAACTCAAAAGTACAGTTTTTAAATTTAACCCTAACCCTTGTGCGTGTTTTTTATTTTGACAGCGAATGCGCACCTGCGGACCACTTATGTGCAGCCCTGGTTATTTAGCTCATCATATTGCAGCCACAGAAATTCTTTTGTCCATGAAACCATAAAGCTGCACTTTCTTTTTGCCTTATAGTCTGATTTGTCATAACTTCTCCGTTTTGTGGTAAGCTTTTCTTTGGCTGTCACTTCTTCACCCTGACCTGTCTTATTTGGCTCAGCAGAACTGAAATGCTTTTACACGCTCACTCACATAAGCTCAGCGATTCTCTGCGCGATCAACCTCTCACATGTTTAAGCTGCGGGAGATTTCACTTGTCATGTTTGCATAGTAAGCTAACGATTAATAAGACGATGTCAGAGGAATTGGTGCACAAATTATCATCACTCACAGATCAGTGCTGTCGCTCTCTATACACAGTTCGCACGATTGCAAAGTGAAAGCAAAAAAACAAGCGCAAATTCAAACGCGACTTCAATATGTCACATATTGACAGTGGCTCACCGATGCCAATGACATAATTACCCAGCTACATTTCCGAAAGAATGCAAAAGCATTGACATATATTTTTCCTACAATAGCCCGACGGGCAGGGAAGAGATAGATTTTGGTAGCCCGACTGAAAAAAATCGCTAGCCCCAGGACGTCGGGCTAGCGATATTGCGGGCCCTGTATCTGATTGAGGAATCACTCATCTTTGGAAAAGAGAGTTTATTACAGAGAAATGTCTCTTTCCAAAATAAAAGCTATACTATCCGCTTCTTCTGGGCTATATTCTCAGCAGCATAAGGAGAATCATGTGCTAACAGCTGTCTAAATGACTCGGCTAAAGTTAGTAGCATGCTTGCTTTTTTTTGTCTGCTTCCACTTGTCTTTGCACTAGGATGATGTCGGCGTAAATGTGCAGTCATATTCGTTGTGTTCCCACTAGTGCTTTCAGGTTAATCTCATTGAAATGACCTTAACGCCACAACACGGCAAATCTCCGTTAACGAGCTACCGCCGATCGCTCCGTGCATGGGGCTAGACGGCCAACACGTTAACGAGCTAACTGCGCTAACACACTAGTTCACACCAATGTAATTGACCATTGCATGGCACATCCAACATACTGTTTTACTTTAGTCCATGACTCGCTTACCTTCAGGGTCATACGTCACATGAAAACCAAAATAATTCCAAACGCCAGATCTGAATGAGGTTCAATTTGCCTGTTGCAAGGAGAGCTTAACTTCTGTCTCGCTAGCTTGCCCTGCGCTCTTCCTTCTGACTATGCTGTCTGTGTTGAGCGCTCAGTGGATCTGCGCTGGACAGTGCAGCCTAGGCGGAGTAGTCGAACACAGATTCACTGAGCGCTCAACACAGACAGCATCGTCAGAAGGAAAATTGATAAAATAAATTACAAATGTTGTACTGTTCGATACATATGCGTACCGAACCGAAAGCACTGTATCGAACGGTTCAATATCGATACGAATATCGTTGCACCCCTACTATCTACCTACCTGCCTTCTTCTGTCCCATCTTGCCTAACTGTCCTCTTGGCTATGTCCTTCCTACTTTCTACCTGCCTACCTATTTATGTTCCTACCTATTTCTCTTTCTTTCTACCTACTTACCTGCCTACCTGTGAGCTGGTGCTGTATAGACATAGGCCCATCTATCATTCAGGGCAATTGGATTGTATTACAGCAGTTTGTTCTTTATTTTTCTTGACTAATTTATTTAAACTTACTTAATTTAAAATTTTCCAGTTTAAAAAACTGACATTAGCAAGCTAGCTGTAGCTTAGCTACTCTGAATCAGGCGCTGGTTATTCTCTTGTGATAGCTGAAAATATGACTTGCACAGGGCAAGCTGGCCAGTGAGGCGCATGGATAAATGAGCTGACAGCATCAAGGCTTCTACACTGCTGCAGTGTGAGCTAAAGAAATGTTGCTGAGGTGAACTGAATATACAAGCCTGAGGGTTTCATAGAACCAACTGCAGGTTGTTTGGGGTGAAGAGATCTTCAGGTCCAACATTAGAGCTCATTAAAGGTTTTGTGCAGCAAACATCTGCCCGTATAGGACTTGGAGCTTTCGTTATCGGTGAGATTAAAAGCGAAATGTAAAGACGGTGGTGGGTGTCAGCCATTTAATAGTGGTTTTTTTGTGCTTTCAGCCCTGTGCAGCTGGATGACTTTGAGGCCTTCTTCAAAGACATGAGCAAGGACTCTGCCTACAAGTTCTCCTTGCAGTTCGAGGTACAACTTTAATCACGTCTTCTGAGACCAACAGGCCTGACGTTTGTTCTGAGAAGCAGAGGGAAGCATCTGAAACCCTCTGTGTTTTTTATATCATTTAACTTTGGTTCTGGTGACGTTTCTGTAGGAAAAACCAAAAGAGGAAGTGAATAAATGTCCCAAAATGACCTTGATAAGCTTCTAGGCTAGTGAGTGATGAAATAAAGTCTGCAAATAAAGTCTGATTTAGATCAGCAGGAGTGAATGCTGCTCTAATACATCGCCTGACGTTAGCAAGTGAGCAGGATCTTACATATTTCATCAGTTCACACATAACATTTAAATGTTTACAATTTAAATGAAATATGTCTTTTAGTTATATATTTATTCAGATGCATGGGTGTGCCTTTCAAGGGTGTTGGGCGACACTTCCCCTTACTTGGGAAAACAGCGAGATGCTTAATTATCATGTGGCGCCTGATTTTGTGTTTTTCTTTACGTAAATAAATACGGTCTAAACTGAAGCACAAAAAACTAAAACTGAAAATGAAATCAAATTTTTAAAAATGTTCCTCTAGCACTCAAACTGCAGTGAGGCTTAAACCTTTTTCTGCATAGTGGGTGTGTCATCTGATTTTAGGGTGCTTTATTCCACAGCCGTTCACAAGTAACAATCAAAACATGTCCTGTTAGAGCAGATTCGTGCTGGTAGGTAGCATGGCAACAGTGGTGGCTGCAGACGTGCTCGCAAGAGCATGGGATGGGTTTTCCTGTCGTATGGACGCGTGCCACTCATTTGAAGGGAGACACATGCAGACATTATATAAAGTTTTCTATGTAAAACTTTATATTCATCCAGGTATTTTAAATTTTTGAATTCCTTAAAAAATACAGCGTTTTAAAATCTGATTAACTTTTGATACACCCAGTATTATACATTTATTCAAAGTGGATCCATTCCCCTTATTTCCACCTGCATTTTTTACTGTTGACTGTTCAAGCAGCTATGCATGATTCACACTTCAGAATAATCCTTCTTTATCTGATGCCAAGATTCAGTTCAGTCGCTCTTTGAAACAACCCGTTTTAGCTCCTCTTCATTTAAACCAGCTTTCTTCTAACACTCACAAACAGAAACATGTCAAATCACTTGTTTTGAACTTGAACAGGAGGTGGGTGGGGCTTCTGTCTACCCTCTCTTACATCATACAGTTCCAAGAGTAGGAAAAACTGTGATAACAGTTAGAACAGGCTGCAGGGATTTGTGTACATGCACTGAGCTGATTATTAGACACTCTGGTCATTTTTAATATGAACATCCAGCACAGGAACAGGAAATGAGGAGAAGACCCCTGGGTCCATTTTACATCTCACATAACCTCGGAGCTTTTTAAGAGCATTTTAATTTGAAAATCTGACTCAGATTTAAATGATCCTCATCCTTAATTTTAGTACTGATGTTTTTTTTTTCCAGGATCTAAAGAGCATCGGTTTGGATCTTTCCCATGATGCTGCTGACCTTCCCATCAACAGGCCCAAGAACAGATACACCAACATCCTCCCCTGTGAGTCTGCACTAACATGTATATATCTAGATTTAAATATCTAGATAAAAAAAATACACAAGATCATCAGAACAAAGAGGAAGGCGGGGCCGGACTGAAAGCAACCCGCTGATCATGGGGAAACCATAAAATCAACCGTGAGCCTCCACTTTTACTGATTTATTGCCCAGAGAAAATTTACTTTCATTAGACGGTCTGTAATAAATGTGTAAAATGGAGCCTCGCGGTGCTTTTTCTCTGACTTAAAAATCCAGCTCGTCAGAGTTGTATTCTGAAACCAGCGCACACCACTACAGTGAAGATGCCATTATTAAGTGCCTTTATAGAAATGGAGAGCTTTCATTTTTTCTGATTCTAAAGTCACGTGAGCGTTTGTGTTCCTCGGAGTACGAGGGCAAGTTTTACTGTTTGGTGACGACCTGTAGTTTATCTTGGGACTAACGAGAGAAAATCTGCTCTAAGATGACTTCAGTCGGGTGAAGCTGATCTCGATGCACAATGACGAAGGTTCAGACTACATCAACGCCAATTACATACCCGTGAGTACATCCACAACACAAATGTGAGGAATTAGCATCCATTTGTTTTTCATCTCTTTTATAGTCCATGTTTTGCATGAATTACTTTTTTCTTCTGTAAAGCTGTGCTTGTGTTTGGATTCCAGGGCTACAGACACAATAAAGAGTACATCGCCACGCAGGGTCCGCTGCCTGAGACCCGCAATGACTTCTGGAAGATGGTTTTGCAGCAAAAATCCCCGATCATCGTCATGCTCACACAGTGCAGTGAACGGCGCCGGGTGAGACTTTATGTTTAATCAGTTTAACTCTTTGTAAGTGGAAAATCTGGAGGTTTCAAGCCGCTTTAAATTTTATACTTAAATCAAAAAAATAACAGACACGTAAAAATAGACAGACACGTAAAGATGACTCATTAGAATAAGTATTAAAAGTTTGATTAATAAATAATGTTTTGAAGAAAAATTGTAGTAGCAAATACTTCCTAAAAATGGTTTTCGAAGGATTCAGATTTTTTGGTGTTTATTTATTGGTGTTTTATTCAGACTGAGCACGAGTAATGTGATTAACACAATCAACAGACAGTCACATTACACATATCCACCTATGGCTCAGCACAGAATCACCATCTTCACCTTTCATCAGATCAGAAAATGATTCTTGTTTAATTAGAAGAATAAAAACAAATAAGATGTTGTGTTTTTTATTTGCATAATGAAGTTATTAATGTCATATTTCTAAATTAGTATAAATAAGGGGAAAATGCATACACACAAATATTTTGTGTTTGGGGGGGAATCTGAAGACGAAAATTTCTTTAAAAAAAATAAAGTAAAATGACAGAAGTTGCACAATTCTGCCCCCTGGTGGTCATTGTTAACTGTGGCCGTAATTTTCTTTCCTGTTTTCAGGTGAAGTGTGATCATTACTGGCCCTTCAATGAGGACCCTGTGATGTACGGTGAGGTCAGTGTAGAGTTGCTATCTGAAAGCGAGTCTCCAGAGTGGATCATCAGGAAGTTCAGACTTGGATATGTGAGTTTCTTTGATTTCCAAACGGCTACTGACAAAAGCTTCCAGTTAGTGCATTTATCGAACGTGAACTGTTACTGCCACCTGCAGGCTGATGAGAGTCAGGACGTCCTCCACCTGAACTACACCTCGTGGCCGGATCACGGCGTCCCCACGGTAAATGCCATCGAGAGCATCCTGCAGTTCGTCCATATCGTCCGCCAGCAGGCCAACAGGACCAAAGACCCCATCATCGTCCACTGCAGGTAAGGCCACTCCTTAAAAACATCTGCAGATATTTTGTCTTGCTGTGACTCATCTGTTAGCGTCCTCTGGTGGATACATGGAAAATCTAAAATAAATCACCATTATTGAAACTTTTCGTCATTCCTGCTCATTAAATGAAATAAAATGAAACGGCGTACCCAGTGGTGGTGCAGTCTGATTATTTAAACAGAGAAGCAATGCGCAAATGTCTTCAAAATAAAACATTAGTGCACAATATATGCCACTATTAATGGTTCTACAAACATGGGCTGGATTTTCTGGATGGTTGCAAAGATTCTAGGATCCTCGATGGAATTGGATCAAGTAAAAAACCAAACCCAGGTCCAAACCCAGGTCCCAAGAATTAGTGATGGGTGGGTAGATGTCCTCATTCTTTCTCGGAGTGAATTTATTTATCCGAGTTTGATTTCTGCAGGTTTGATTTTCTCAGAGCAGGAAGGCGACTCGTTTCCTGACAGTCTGAGCCATAAAAATGCAATTAGAGAGATGATGTAATGGCCATTATGATGTCCATTAGTGGACTAGCGACAGCAGCGATTTGGTTTCTAATGATGCCGCCTGTGTGTGACAGTGCTGGAGTCGGCAGGACTGGGACCTTCATCGCTCTGGATCGCCTGATGCAGCACATCAGAGAGCATGAGTACGTGGACATCCTGGGCATGGTGTCGGAAATGCGATCGCATCGCCTGTCGATGGTTCAGACTGAGGTCAGACACTGGCACATCACACCAACACATACATGTGTAAATAAGACAGTTACTTGAAGAAGTCATTAAGTGTCCACACTTTAGAAACCGTCAACCGGATTGTGCCAATGTGTCCTCAATGACCTGAATTTGTGATTGTGAGTATCAAAGGGTGGACGATTAGTTCAAACGTGTTTGTTGTCTGCAGGAGCAGTACGTGTTCATCCATCAGTGCGTCATGCTAATGTGGCAGAAGAAAAAGCAGCAGTCCATCACCTCGGACGTCATCTACGAGAATGCCAGCAAGACATAATGAGGACACCTCCAGACGTGAGTCCAACCCGAAGTATCAGGGCTCATCCCGATTCGCGACATGCGTTATGGTTATTCACGGTATAGAAAATGATTTAGAGCATCCATCCATCCTCATCTTTGTCGCGGGGGCTACACCCTTTTCCAGCTATTCTAGGGCGAGAGGCGGGGTTTACCCTGGTCAGGTCACATGTCTTTGGACTGTGGGTGGAAGCTGGAGTACCCGGAGAGAACCCTGCTAATCTTCATTGCTACCAATGATGATTAGCAACAACTTTCTAGAGGAAGTGGTTAAATATCTTGGACTAATTTCAGTGAACCCTGTCAGGTCTGAGTCAAGCCAACCCTAAACTCTGTTATGAAGAAAAGTTTTTTTTAAGTGTATAAATATAAATGCCATGGTCTGATAGCTGTCTACCTCAGAAACTAATCTGTGATAAAAAGTTTGACCTTAAATTTAAATTGAATTTATCTCTGCCTCCATCATCTTCTTGTTGATCCAAACGAATGTCTTTGTGTTTTAGACTAAATCCTCCCTTTGTGCTTAAACCCTTCTGCTTGTTTTGCAGGCTGTGAACACACCCCAACCTCCTGTGCTTCAGGCATCCATTCTCTGCAGAAGAAGACTCGCTTCATCATCAGTATCAAAAACAAAAAAAAAACACAACATAGAACATCTGGGCGAGAGAAAACTATTATCAGTCTCTTTCTTTGAATTGGTGTTAAAGCATGGGATGGAGTTTTGCCTTAAGGAGCCTTCACTGACTGACCAACATGTTCAACCACAGCCCTGCCCTCTGAACTGGACTGACTCACACCAACGTGGGCTCGGAGGAGCGTTGACAAGCTGCGTCTGTTGAGGCAACGAGTCGGTGGAACGGAGTCAGTGGTTTTTCATTTTTATTTATGTTTTTAATCTCAGGAGTCGCTGTAAAACCAGCAAGCACACTGGCCTCCCCTTCAAACCTTTGTTTTAGGTTCAGGTTTTGCTTTGCCCGTCGTCTTGCACGGTGCAGCTTTCCTGGCTTTTTGGGGCGTAGGAGTCGGCGGCGGTAGATTTCATCGTTACGCACTGCCACACCTACCGCACACGTCGATAATTAAAAACCCCAATGGCTCGAGCTCGCTGATTAACTGCCAGGACTGCTGCACAGGAAGAACCCAGCAAACATTCACTAAAGAGCGAACCCAAGATGAGCACAAATCGGATGTTTGGAGACACTTACGTCATCTTTCCATCATGGCTGCATATGCCAAACTTCAGAAGTGAAAAATGAGGAACTTTTCAGATTTCTGCTCCAAATTACGGCAGAAAAATATCATCATCATAACACTATCCGAACTTTATCATGATCAACCCTAGCGGTGTGAATGTTTGCTAGGTCTGTACAACAAGAGGGCACAAACGAGTCGAGGGGAACGCCGTACCCACGCTGCCATCCGTCGCCGCTCGGCGTGTTTGAGGCCAGTTTAGAAGCTAGAGACTGTGGTTGTAGAGCTGTAGTTTGTATTTGCACTGAGGCCTCTGAGCTGCTGAACAAGAAGGGAAGCATTTTGCTGCTGCTTCCCACCGTGGGCGATCAGCACGCAGTCACCATGCTTGGAGCTGTAGATTAACGTTAGGACTACTGTAGAGCTTTGGACTGTCCGATCGGGCTGGCAGAGGAAAAGGACCGTATCCGACAGCATGGACATCGGAGACAGAATCTCTCAAGTTTCCCCGTTACTGGCCCGAAGTCACAGAAACATATCTGCTCAGCATATCAGCAGAGCTCATCTGGGTCCCACATAAATTGATTTTTCACCGTCTAGAAGTGCAGTCAGTTATTGCACAACTACAAGTTATACCTTTGAATCTGGACTAGAAAGTATAAATACATAAGTTACAAAAATATCTGCATTTCAATGTCCCGATGCAGTCAGTGGTTTTCTTATACATGCCCACGGTGACTTCCTATAAAGAAGTACTACACCGATAAACGTTTAGCGTACATTTCACTGAACGTCACGTGTGATCCAGCGTTTGTAGTGCAACAAAACAGAATGTACGCATCCTGTAAGTATCTTTGACAGTTTAAAAGAAACTTCCTTCACAACGGTTTGTTTTCTCATTCATTTTGAACTCTAAGCTTTTCTATTTAATTACAGATTTTTTTGCAGTGTTTTCAATGAGTAAAACACCCAAAATTTAATCATTAACATTTTATGTAGTATTTCCTACCTTTTTACCATGTCACATACTACAGTCTAGTATGTATTAGACTAAAAGTATTTTAAACATGTGCATTTCACTAAAATGCATTTTGTTGGGTTTTGTTTTTGCCACATTTTGAAAGGATTTTTCGGGCATTATAAGAAAACCAGTGAGCACGGACATTTAATAAAAAACACCACAGTTCAGGTTTTTGCTGGTTTTGGGCCCCTGGTGTCGGTTTGCGAATGGCTGAGACCGACTCATCAAATTCGATCTGTACAGAAAAGTATTGAAGCATCAGTGTCTGCTAGTTAGATCAGATTCTATTCAGCGATTTAGTTTTCATTGTTCATCTTTCTACTGAGTATTTCACATGAAGGGCAGAAGAATATTCACATTTCCATCATTCCTCAATGATTGTAGAGAATGTCTACTGAGCAGATGAGTGGTCGACTTCAATGAACCCAAAGTTTTACACTCGATTCAGGACATACAGGGTGTCGTCAAAATAAGAGCTCAACTCTGGGGGACGGGAGTATAATCATTTGGGATAGCTATGACTTTGGAATGAATCACAAAAGCTGGTTGAACAATCCAAATAAAAGATTTGGTAAAATGCAAAAAAATGTCATCAAGCTTATAAAATGTATAACACAAACTCTGCACTTCCTACAGTCTACAATCAAAATTTATTGTTATTTTAGAAAGTGTACTGCAACATACATGGTGGGAAAGGTGGAGCGCATTTCAGATGAATGAAATCAAAATTCAATTTGATTTCATACCAAACTGAATTTTAGTTTTTTTCCCATAATAATTACATTTTGGCACATCGAGCAAAGCTTTTAAATTGCTTTGCTAGTTATTCCCATAATGAATACTAAACCAGGTAACTCTCACTTAATGCTGAAGTACAGATTTTTATTTTGACGACACCTTGCATTAAGTTTGTGCAAATATTTCAGTAATTAATGAATGTTTAAAAAGGCCACTGGCCACTTGTGAAATGATTCATCTTTGTGGCCTTGTGCTTACCACACCTGAAGTCTTTGCCTGTCAGCCGTCTCAGATCCTCAACGGTTGGGTACTTCGGTTCAGTCGCCGCTCGATCTGAAATAGTTTCCATGTCACTCTTAGATATCAGATGTACTGTACATACTACTACTACTGCTTAACTATTCTGTTTCTACTCGTCATTGCAAAGTTATTCTTGTGGAGATGTTGCTTTAGAAGTTTGTTTTTTAAAAGTTGTTGTAAATGTGAATCATCTTTCTCTGAGCTCAGAGCTGAATTCTCGCCGGCGCCGTTTCTTAAGCCTCAGCGTTTAGAAGCGTGACGTGGACGTGGAGGATGCATCTGGGGTCTGGGAAATGCACTTTGGTATGACTGTCAAAAAAAGATTTTTAAAAACTGACAGAACTTGCAGACAGTTTTGTGAAGCTCAGCACTGAAACTCTTCTACAGTTCTTTCTTGCTTAGTGTGTGTCCAGTCGAACTCGTACGTCATTGGTGCCATTATTGTGCATTGTGTCACTTACAGTTTGAAGGATGAACCCGAGCTTGGGTCGCCGTCACAGAGTTTTACTGTGTGTGTTGGAACAAAATAAAAATGTTGCAGTAAAAACAGTGTGTGCTAAGTATAACTGTATGATCTTACATAATAATTTAGGATACCATCATGTGTGTTGGCATAATGGCGATATAATTTTTAAATACAATGGTTATGAATACATAGATTTACATAGCACCATGAATATAAAACAGTAGCTCTTTTGAACAACAAGGTCCTGAGTACTACTTAAGGGAAAATTAAAATCAGAAGGTCGCCAACTGAAACGTCAACTTTATGGAGTACACTGTGCCACAATATATGATTCTAGCTTTTCTGACCATCTCACTGTACCGTATTTTCCGCACTATAAGACGCACTTAAAATCCTTTAACTTTCTCAAAAATCAACAGTGCACCTTATGTATGAATTGTGTTTGTGCTTACTGACCTCGAAACAATTTTATGTGGTACACGGCACTCAAAAATGTTTTAGTACGACTTTGGTAAGCTACGAAACCGGACCGCTTGATGGATTGTCGAAACATTACGGCTACCGTAGTCAGGAGCCTCGAGGACTCTGAGTATCTGGGTCCAAAACTCCGTCGCTTCAGGTCCCAAAGTCAAATAAACACTGTGGCATCACTGAGAGTTAAAAACCGTCTAAATCTTTAATAAAATGATCAGCGTTGCTGCTTTACCAGGTGTAACAATTAAGTTTGACATCCAGGCATCCATGAAAACACAATTTATTAAATTTAACAGAGTTAGAAGTTAGCAGGAAGTTAGCTCGCTAGTTTCCACCTAAACATGATATAGCATGTTCTGACTGAGAGATTTCTGAAAAAATTAAAACGTACAGCTCTGCAATCACTTCCAACATAAACAAAGACAGAAAACTAAAAAGCAGTGACGTTTGTAGGGTTACTGAAGTTGGACTAGCTGGTATATAATGATGTGCTACGTGATGTACCTGGTAGCGACACGGCTATGTTAGCATAAACACAGTGAAGCTGGAGGCAGTGTTGGTCGAGTTACTTTAAAAAAGTAATCAGTAACTAATTACTGATTACTTCCCCCCAAAAGTAATCCCATTACTTTACTGATTACTGATTACAAAAATAATTAGTTACTTAGTTACTTTTTAAAAACATGATTTACAACCTGAATAGGTAATAAAGCAATAGATCTTTCAGCCCAATTCTACACGGTGGGCCATTTATAGGGATACACCGTAATAAAATGGGAATGGTTGGTGATATTAAAGTCCTGTTTGTGGCAAACTCCTCAAGATGGGTGGTGACCATGGTGGCCATTTAGAAGTCGGCCATCTTGGATACAACTTTTGTTTTTTTTCCCAGTAGGAAGAGGGCCATGTGGCACATCAAAGTTATTGGTAATGACAAGAAAAACAATGGTGTGCTTGTAAAATGTAATGTAAAATGAAAAAGTCTGTTTTTAAAACTTGTGTTATTAGTTTTAATCTTTTAACTTTATGCATCAAGCAAAAATTTAATTATATGCAACATTCTCTGACTGGAAGAAATTTGTTGAACATTTAAACCTTTTTGCACATTCCAGCATATAAAATAAAATAGTTTTTTGTGTTTACACTCACTCTTTCAAATAGATGCGAGTAAAACACAGCAGAAAATAAAGAAAGTCAAAGACTCAGCGGTCCTGTTGCTCTATTTTCACCAGTATAGCTGGAGTGAGGCAGGCAGAGGTTTGCCCTGGTGCAGGTGTGTCGCAACGGTCAGTGGAAGGATCCGGGAGTTTCCCATTCTGTGGCAGCGTACTCTGTGCTTGCTCTGAAGTTTAGGGTGTTTTTCGCTGTAAAAAGTTTTCTTCACATGCAGTGAACAGCGGACGCTAATGTTTTTATCACTTTTTACGGAATCAAACTCAAAGTAAGGTCAGTACTTCCACGCTTTAAACGCTGTACGGTCATACTCTCTCCCGCACTTGTCATATTATCCATTGTTGACCTGCACACAGCTGTTGCCACGAACGTCGCACTCATTTACGTCATTCTCATGAGACACTCTTGCAAAAAAATAAATAAATCATGGCTTTAGTAACGCAGCGTGCTTACAGGAAAGTAACAGTAATCTAATTACCTTTTTTGCAATACAATCCCTTACTTTACTCATTACTTGAAAAAGTAATCGGATTACAGTAACGTTACTTGTAACACGTTACTGCCCATCTCTGGCTGGAGAATGAACGCTAACTTTTTTCCACTCGATAAAACTTAACGTGAGGGTTCCTGATGGTTGGGGACAAATGCAATCGCATTGGAGGATGCTGTAAATGGACCAAACTTCAGTCAGAAGAAGAACTGAGATAATCCATACACAATACGAGGTTAGTCATTAATATACTGCAACAACACGGGAATAGAGCAGCTGCGAGAGAATTCATCATTAATGAATCAATGGAACGGAAGTGGAGGAAGCAAGAAGAATTAGTTGAGTAAAGTTTGACTTTTTTGAAAGTTTTAAAGTTTGACTGTTTTGTTTCGCTTAATCCAGTGCGCCTAATGGTCTGAAAAATACAGTATTTAAATAAAGAATGAATTTAAAATTTGAACTTTGCTGTGAAATGAATCTCTGAAAGAAAGATGGCTCAGAAGCAGACGTGAAGATTACAGGGAAAAAAAAAAAAAAAAAAGGCTCCATGATGACTTAAAAAAATGCTTTTAGTAAATGTTTTATTGCAGAATGAGCAGATTTACATGGAAAAGGCACGAAGAAAACTATACACGTACAAATGAACTCTAACCTTTCCTCCTGATTGGCCTCTATACATCTGTTTGGGTAAAACTACACTACGTACACTTTTACTGTTCTCTCATTAGCAACAAGCAATTCTCCATAAACTGAACTACTCTGCTTTAATCATTATTTGTATTACAGTGCTGTGCTACAGTTCAGACAAAGACAAAACTTTCCTTCAGAAGATTAAGTGCATAAGTGGAAACAAAATCAATACAATCAATGCCACAGTGAGTACAGGCTCATTTCTGTACATTTCCTTTTCTATGAGCATTTACATCTTTCATTTACAGTGTTTTCAGGCTGCTTGTACAAACAGAAACAGTCTGCATGTTTTTACTTTATTTACTGCTCACCGATCTGAACATCTTCTGTTGTTGATTTTTGGCTGTAAATTCTCAAACAATAGCCAGTGTTCAAATAATGTCTGAGCGTGCTCGTGACCAGCACGAACCAATCCAGTCACAGCGGGAACCATCACACCCGTGACTGTTAGAGCACATCATCGCTTCAGTCCCAGTGGTCACCTCACTGATTGGGTTGGGTGGTTTTCAGAGTGATCAAAAAGGACAGATTTTTCACATTAAAAGCCTTTTAAGAAAACAGATTACACCCTTTTCAACTTTTAATGTGAAAGGTCTGGACTCCTTAGTGTGAGTCGTTATTGTGATCCAGTTCAAAATCAAGTCCATGTGAATGTGTGCGTGTAACCTTTAAAATGTGAACTTAAACCTGTGAACTTCCTGTCCCACAGGGGGCACACTCGAGCTCATCCAGACAGAATGCAACTCTGTGGAGCTGAAGAACAAAAATGCAGATTTTTCTGGGGTAAATTTTTTCTTTTCCATCAGGTTTTCGATAGAGTATACAGAGTTCAATTTGTAGATTTCCCCCCCCCCCCCCCATTTTTTTCACGAGGAGGCTGATAGTAATGGCAATTACTAAACCTGAATATAGTCAGCAATCGCTGGCATCACATCACCTGCAGCTCGAACAGGTAAGATGACCAATGAGACAGAAACATGAGGCTACCTGTTGCTTTGGACGGGGTGTGATGAGTTCAACTACATTCATTTTGTGTTTTTACTCTCAGAACAAAGTCAAAGAAAGACTTTCAGATCTGAGCCATTACAAACACCTCAGCTGCTTCAGCTCGTTTCATTGGTTGTTACCTCTGCCTGAAAAACAACAGCATTTTTATTCATGTGCAAAAATGCTGATTACCAAATATCATTTCCTTGTAAGAAATCTGATCACTCACTCTGTGACAGATGTTCTTCATAAGTTATTTCTATAAAGTTATGTGCATTTCATTTTGCTTCTAGTTTTAAAATAATCTGAGAAAATGAAATCCCATCAAATAACTCTCAAAAACATTTAAATGTATATTTATCAGTCTGTTAGCATAGATGATAGAATAATATTCATTTAGTGAATTTCATTTTTGTAACAAGCAGTCAGGCATGTCTAAAGTACCAGGCTCAGTTTTAGCCTCTCCGTGATCTCACTGTGCCCAGGCACAGAAGGAATAATCCACGTGTGCAGGGTCAATCCCTCTTTGGAAATAAAAACACAGGATCAGCACTTCCTGTTTGCTTTTAGCCTTTTCCACAATCTTAACTCAAAAGACATAAATCCTGAATGTCTCGGCTCCACGAGTCTTCTTAGAGTGCAGTGTGTTTACATCATTACATCATGAAACGCTCCTATGTGTGACCTGACCGCAGTGATGGAGCGGAGAGGACCGGGCGCGGCACTGATGTTAATACTGCGAGGCTTTGCTTTGGAAACGGTGAGCAAACAGCTTTTCACCAACTAAACGAGTCCCCAAAGTGTTCATGTGAACTCCAGGCAAACATGGCAGAATATTGTGTGTGTGGCAGTCCGGTGGGCGGTCGGTTTGTTTCTATGGAGATGAGCTGAGGAGTTCCTGTCTACGCCGCATGATCTCCACGAACGCCGCGCGGTCGGCCGCTGCCTGAGGATTGAGAGAGCAGCAGGCTGCGGTTTGAAAAAAAGGATAAGGTACAGCAGAGGGAGGGAAGAGGAAGGGAGGAAGGAAGGAGAGGAGCTGGGTGGAGCTCAGTGGGCGCCGCCTTCATCGAAAGACTCCACCCCTGAATCACAGGTGCTGGCTGCCAGTTTCTCCTGCCGCCTCCTCATGATCTCCTGCAGCTCGGAGCCTGCACTCTTCTGGAGACGCAGACGAAACAGAGACATGAACAAACACTCATCAGGACACAAACGCACATTTGATCTCGGGAAACTCTCGAGCGCCGCCTCGTGAGACAAGCCCATTTAGACAGCCTGCCTGACTCACTGCAGTTTAGTTTTCCACCAATAATCACGCACTAAAACCACTTTGTTTTTGCTGAGCTTTACTGAAACAGAGTGTTCCTCTCCACAGATTACAGGTGGCCATCCAAGGTTAAAGGGAAATTTAAGAGAGAAAAAAAAAAAAGAAAATTCTCCATGAACTTGAAACGTCAGAAACTATGATGTAATTATAAACTTTTTTTCTTCAAGCTGATCTTAAGTTTGAATTTTGGTAATTATCCACAGCTTTTATTTACATCGGTCTGTTACCTTGGACAAACTACAAGCTCCTGCTTTCCCGGACCACCTCAGCCCGTTAGAGCGCCCCCGAAAGTCTCCCCTCGACCTCTGAGCTTTTCAAGCAATAAATGTAAAATCTACTGAGCGTCAGTGCCGTCGCTTTAGAAGATTTTTTCGGCGCGTTGAGGTGAAATCTTCTGTCGGTCAGAGCCTAGCGGCGCCAGCTGGCTGCAGTTTGGTGTAAACTCAGCCTCGGGAAGCCTTTGGCGACTGCCAAGCTGCAAACAGCATGTGGATGAATGTGTCTACGGTGTGGTGTCAGGAAGCATGCTGGGTAACGGGATTTTCTGAAACTGGTGGCACAAACACCTGCTACACCAGAGTCTGTGTGTTCCCAGAGACGAGATGATCTGGAGCAGTTCGTTCACCGCAGGGAGAAAATATAGCGTTTGAGGCCGAAGTGCCGATATTTGTGCAACCAGCTGCAGGTGGAAAGAAGCTTGAGGTGTTCAGGTACAAGAAGTGATCAAAAAGATTACAGGAAGCAGCCAATTACAGGAAAAACCCTCATGCCACTGAAATTTAATCAGTTTGCTCTTCAGCGTCGTCTCATGTGCACCTCTGGACCTCTTCCAGATGTTTCCTGTTGTGACCTGTGAGTCCTCCTCAGAGCTCAAATGTCACATTCACATCTCATGTAACAACAGTTATACTAAATTAGTACTAAATTATACTAAATTAGCAAAATTGTATTTTTTATTTTAGTTTAATGAGTTCAAACTTTTCCCTTTTTGTTATATTTCAAAAGTCTATTTTCATATTTAGTGAACTAAAATGTTTTTTTCACATGTAGTTTTACTTTAATGAGCTTGCAAAAGGTCCAGAGGTGCAGAAGAAGATCTTACAGGCAGATTGAACAATTTTAGGCAAGTGTTTGGTCGACATCTGAAACTTTTTGGTCACTTTATTTAAAAAACTGTTTTAAAAACTGATCCAGGACCACAGACAGCCAATTTATACTTACCAGACGCTTCAGTATCACAGGTGCTTTCACAGGTATGTCGCCACTTTACTTATCTAAGATGGTATTTCAAACCATTCAGCATGGTCCATGTCTAGATTGTGGGTTCAGCAGCTGATCTGAATCTGGATGTTTTCAGTGTTCGTTTCTTTATAAAGGACAAACTAACAACAGTAGATATTAAATCTAAACTAAGTGTGTTTAAAAAATAAAAATATGAGCTAAAACTAACAATTGATGTGTTGGAGAAAGTCCTGAAACCCAGATCTGTACATGGAAAATGTGTTTGCACATTTTACCAAAAGAAGGTGAAAATTACTACACATCCAGGTTTCTATGGGAGGGTGGGGCTGTGAGTTAGCAACAGGTGAGGGTCAGAGGTCAACAGGAAGGGCATTGTTTGGGAGCTGCTTCATTCAGGGAGATTAAGAAGGACTTTGTGCACAGCCACAGCAGGAAGCCTAATGCTGACTACCTTAAAAATGCTGCTACACATGAAACATCTGGAGCCTCGTTCTGATGGCCAGATTCAGGAATTCTGAGAAAAGAAACTAGTCTGGAGTCCTGTGTCGATACGAACAAATCCTCCGGTGCAACCGGTCAATGTTGGTCTTCATCTGTGGGCTAATTATAGACTATAAATCCAAAAGGGCCAGGTAAAGAGAGCTGACGGGAAAGTTCTGTTAGATGAAAAACTCCCCAATATCAACAATCCAAATTCAAAAAAGTTTAACGCACTAAGACTCATTTAAGACTTGTTCCCCCCAAAATCAAGACCAACTAGTCCTAAGCTTGGAATACTTTTCCTAAGTTGAGAACAACAAGTCCGAAAGAAGCAGCAGTTGCTGCAGCATCTTGGGCCTTTTTGGCTTCTAAGTCATGTCACTAATTAAGAGAAACAGGAGTCCAACAATCTAAATTCAAAACCTTCCAAACTCGCCAACAGTCCCAAACCTATGGCCACATCAAGACCAGCAAGGCCAAGTCAAGAAGAAGAGCAAGACACAATAATGGTAAATGTTGATTCAATTTTTGTTGTTGAACTTAAAGTGGTTTATTGACCATGATCCCTAACCCAAAAAAGGGCCAACAATCCAAAAGTAAGACAGGTAAGTCCCAGTTAAGACCCCTCAAACATGCGCCTCACGCCAGGATGAACAAGTCTCGCGTTCGCCTGACATCTTCTGACCAAGTTTAAAAAAAAAAAAAATAATTAGTACTAACAGATACTGGAACATGTTGGTACCCAAAGAGGAAATAAAATTAAGGGTTTACTTGAATCGCATTAAGTATCTTAATTTTGTCATGAGTCATGGAGGACCTCCTGTTGAATACCACAGCATGTAAAACCCCATGAGTCCTCCATCTCATGCAGTTTCCTTAAATCTGGCCAACAGAATGAAGCTGCATTTACATGAACACGATACCTTTAATGAGTGTGGTAACAGAATCAGAAGATCAAAGGAGGCTCAGAAGAAAACCTGCAGGTGGGAAACAGACACCAGAACACCAGACCTCGCCAGAGTTTGGCGACAGAAAGCTTAAAGACAGAAAAGATCGTGAAGAGGCCTCCAGCTTCCAGACACAAACACATGGCAGCGAACAGATTACAGAGATTACAATCTCTGACCCCTCAGATTATCTGACAACGTCAAGATCAGGATCATAAGTGCTGCTGTTGTCTACAAATAAAACACTTCCCTTTAAAGAAGTTTAGATTTTATTACAGGAAGTGATCCGATTTGTATTCCAGCACAAAACGTTTTATTAATAATAATAATAATAATAATAATAATAATAATAATAATAATCCTCAGCATTGAGGTGTCTGTTAACACCAACAGCCTGTTGGCTCCCTCTGGTGGTCAAACTCAGCGACTTAGCCCTCTTTCATTTTCACTAACTTCAGTAATCAGTTAAATCGGCGCTGACATGTCAGATACTCAGATTGTTTTGTCTCCGTTTCCTGCTGCACGCGTTTGTCTGATGAACCAATCAGCTGTCAGGAAGCTTGGCCTCAACTAACAACACGATCTGATAAAATGCAGTAATAAAACCACACTGACAGACACTAAAGTGAACAATAACACGATTTCACCATCAAAGATTCATTTGTGAAAACTAATCTGTCCTAATACAGAACGTTTGTGTCAATGATCCTTTAATCTAAGAACATAATCATGATGAGGATGTCTCTAAGGAAGCTGTTTAAACTCAATAAAGGCAGGAAGTACAGGTCAAAATTCATTTTTAGATTATTTGAAACTTAAAGTTGTAGTTTGTCAGTTTTATTCTTTTAATATTCAAACTTTATTCATTAAATATTGTGGCTCCACCATTAGATTCATGGGATGCATGGGACTGACTCTTCTGTAAAGTATTATGGATGTATAATACAGTTATTATTGTAATGCAATCTTAAGCTATTTGCAGTTCATCTCCTTTAGTCCTTAAAGAAAAAGTTAAATCCTTTTAATAAAATGTGTAAAGTCTAATTATTATTCTTCAAAAGGCTGAAATAAAAAAAATAAAATAAAATAAAAAAAATAAAAAATAAAAATCAAAATATTCAGTGAAAGGTGATGTTTAAAAAAAAAAAATTAAAAAAAAAAAAATTACCCAGACTTTTTAAATAGTCAAAAGTCAGTTTTGTTTTTGATTAAAATAAAAATAAAAAAAATCTTGTCCTGAACGTGAAATTAAAATAAATACATCAATTAATTAAAATAAAATAAAATAATAATGAACGTGACTATATTTTCAGGATATTAGAACAGGCTAACTTTTCATTTTATTGGGTGTAAAATATTACTGTTCAAATAAGTATGAACTCATTAGTGAAATATAAAGATTATGAAACCTAAGACCATTTTAACTTCAGCGTTTAAATTATGCGTCCTGTTTTATAAGAATATATCCTACATTATGACTGCCTCATTCTCTAAATACACAAACTTTACTCTGAAAATATATTTTAAATACGTTTGTATTTAATTAAAATGTTTTTGCTGTTCTTGAAGATTTGAAGTATGAGGTTTGATTACTGTAGTTTTATTTCTAAAATATTCCAGCTTTAATCAAACCAAACCTTTATTTTGAAATGCTGCACACATTTCCTCAGAGTGACTTCCTGTCTCTGTTGCTTTCCTGCAGTTACTGATGTTTCTGCTTCCTTTACTTAAAATCAGACTGATTATAATGAATAGGAATAAATCTGATGGTGACGTCGGGTCTGAGCAGTGACACCCACCTCGAGCGCCGCCTTCTGCACGGTGACCTGACTGAAGACTCGGGCGCCGTCGTCAGGACAAACCGTCCTCAGCTCCTCCTTGTTGAGCGAGAAGAGCTGAGCGCCAGTGAGCACGCCGAGGCTGGTGATGGTGCTGCACACACACACACACACACACACACACACACACACACACCATTATAGCCTCTCCAATTATGTCCCCCTTTCCTTTTACAGTTTGTGGTTTCACACAATCATGAGATGGTTAAAAATGATGACGGGTAAAGAAAGTGACATCATTTTATTTATATGACCCGCTTTGAAGCATGAAAGTCACACTGTGGATTATTTTACTTTGGATTTATGACCAAGAACAGGAAACGTTCACTTCTGGAAGCTTTAATGACAGTTTTTCAAACGTTTTAGTCACATGACTGTCAGGAACATGCCTGATTGGTCACATTCAGACTTGACTCTCAGACTTGAGTCCAGTTTGTGTTTTTCTGGTTTCCTTCCTACTCTAAACACAGGTTTAAACTTTAGGATCAACTGAGCGTGTGGGTCAGTGCGGGTTAAAGCAGCAGACTTACACGGGGCTGAAGCCTTTGGCCTCTAACCATGCTTTGACCTCTTCTGGTGTCGAGTCATACGTGATGCTGACCGACGGCGTGCTGCCACTGCGGGCGGGACCCTGAAACTTCTTCTGGGCGCTGCGACCGAGCGTCAGCCTGTGCATCAGCTCGTCCTGGACCTCCTCCATGTTCGACTTCCTTCCTACGGACAGAAACACAAACAGGGTTACCTGTACCACGTCACCTGCCTCTGATGGTCTGGATTCTTTAAGTAGAAACATTTATTCAGCAAGTCTGAATATAAAAAGTATTCAAACTGATCACGGTTTGATTTTCTGAACTTTATTTAAAAAAGATGAGATTGTTTGTGTTTTTAGTCTAAAACAGGTGTTGGGGCTGAACAGCTGGATCAGCAGGTGTTTCTGGACTTACGGCTGCCAGCGGCAACAGCAGGTTTCTGACTGTTTTGCTCCCTCATGGCGACACTGCCCATGTCGCTGGACGCGTTGCTGTTCTGTCGGCTGACTGTGCTGCTGCTGGCGGCCAGCTTTGTGGGCTCGGCGGCCGGAGGAGGCAGTGGCGGCGTGGGGACCCTGGCGGGGGCGGGAGCAGGAGGAACCGGTGCAGGGACTGGGGGCATTGGCGTGGCAACGGGTTGGCTGGGGACAAACTCTGTCCTTGTGGTCTGTTTCTGCAGGATACAGATGAGTTTTTCAGTGTACAGTTGAGTGTACAGGTGAGCATGTCTGTTCATCTCCAGCTCCATGTTTTACTCATGACTCCTCAAGAGCAGCTTTGTATGATTCACAGTTCAAAATAATCCTCATTTATCTTATTCAGCGCATTAGCTGCAGCTCCTCCCTAAAAGCCTGCTTTCTTCTTATTGGCTGACTCCTGGAAGCCTGCAGAGGGGCAGCACATATTGTTTTCAGCTGTCTGTATAAAATAAATTGGATTTCTACCTCAGGAACTTTAAATTGAGCTCGCAATGAATCATTTTCCACATGCCATCAGGTCAACTTTGGGGGCGGGGCTTGCAGCGCTGAATATTCCTGATTGGTCAAGCCCTTCAGGTAATTTTAAGTATCTGCAGCAGCTTTTAAAACATTTTAAAGCACAGCCTCTACTTTCTCATCAGTCAGATTTTTCAGGGTCAGGGTTTAGGCTTCCTGCAGTCAGGGTTTTCCGACCCTCTGCTGGAACTTCAGGTGGTGTAAAAAAAGGACCTGGACTAATGACGAGACACCTCTGTGAACGAAGAAAAACTGTTTTGATCTTTGAAATATTTAAAGCGGTGGAGTCTGTTCAGAGCTGGAGGCGAGCAGAGTGCTTCCCTCGAAACAGCAACAATCAGAGTCTCAGTGGTGTTTACCTCGTTAAGCTCTCCCAGTAATTGCTGCCAACAAGAAATGAGACAGATGATGGCGATGAGACGATGAATCAACATGTGTAACTCACTGCAAACTGAACCAGGGTCTGTGAGGAGCTACTACTGGTCACTGACCTGATCCTAGAAAACCTCTTAAAGGGACAGCCCACTGCTTTATTTTAGCCTTGCTCAGACAACAGCGGCACCAACAGTAAATGTTTATTCAGCGATCTACAGCAGCGCCACGAAGAACCGAAGAGAAACGTCACTGAGTTTCTGTCGGCTTTGGCATTTTACACTGAAAACCTCCACAGGAAGTAAAGTATTAAAGATAATCCATCACAATTGTAATCCGTTAAACCACAGAAATTCCACCTTTAAAGATCAGCACGTTTACCCTTTTAGAATATAAGTAAAAATAAACTGAAATAAACTAAGGTTTAAAAAGGTATTATCAACATTTCATATTATACTATAAATAATAATAATACTACAGTGGTCCCTCACTATAATGGAGTTCAAATACAAAACAGCATTTTGTGCAATTTTGCATTCTTTTTTCAACAGCGCATTGTGTTCTACATCCTGATTGACAATGATTGGCTGTAGACCAATCAATCTCGTGCCGTGTCTCCTGTACAATGCAGAATGCGTTCAGCATGTCAAATTTACAAATTACAAATTTTCAAATCTTCGATTGCTAGCAGTGTGATCTGGAGTGCTGTATTGTATGTTTTCTCCCCAACAAACACAACAATGTCAACAAAACATTTTGTACCGTCAGAGGCAACCATGGGTGCCTTTGGTTTCATTCTATAATACTGGACTTATTTTTCTACGAAGGTTTGAAGAGTGTTTAAACAAGAGAGAAAAGTGTGAAAATGTTCATGCCTGTCTGAGAAAAGTGTATAAAGTGTGTAGTGAGGGGTTTTACAGCCTTAAAACATCTATAATAATTGTAAAAAATAAAGTTGGCTACTTCATGGATTTCACCCATCACGGGTCATTTTTATAAAGTAATAATAATAATAACAATAACAACAACAAGTAGTAGTATATATTAGAACAATAAGTAAAATGTCCTTGGAGCTATGACGGAGCTCTGGGTCCTCCTGGTCCAGTCCACAGGACTGAGAGGAAAAACAGCTTTAATCTCTCTCTCAGCTGAGAGTCATTTCATAATTTAAAGGTAACCAGATTCGCTCAAACGTGACACTGTCCCTTTAAGATCACAGCAAATCAAACGCAGGAAGTGGAAACTACAGCGAGCTAGAAACACACACCCAGCTCGTCCTACCTTGAACAACTCAAACTCCCTCCTTGGCATCATAAGCTGATGATTGATCATAAAGACAGAACATGAATTGAGGTGACTGAGATGGGACAGGAAGTGAGCCGCTGCGGTGAACGTCAGAGCGTGCATTACCTGGACGGTGTGACTGTAGATGGGCTCTCCTCGGCTGGTCATGTCCACCGCTTTGGTGATCTCCAGGATGTTGTTTGGCACGTAGCCCGTCGCACCGCAGCCGTTACGAACCTTCCACCACTGCTTCCTGTCGTCCAGCACCTGCCAGGCAAGAGTCAGGGATTACTTCACTCAGTCTCCCCCTCCTCCTCACTTCCTGCTGCGTATTTTCTGTTCCCATAGAGATGGGCATGTTTAATATGACATGAAGTCAATGTCTACACATTAAAGCTCTGAACACTCAGTTTATCTCAGTTTTTTATACTCTTGGATCGCTTTGATGTCATCTTAGACACAGAAGCCCCACCTACCAGCTTTTAAAACCTTCTCCAGCCAATCAGAAGAGACCTGTTTTTAGGGGAAGGCACTTTCAGAGAGGAGGGGCCACACTAAGGTCTAGTATCAGCTACATGAGGATTATTCTGAACTGTGAATCATGCAAAGCTACTCAGAGTCCAGGAATAAACCACGAGCAGAAGAAAACTAATACGATTACCTCGACCACCTCGTCTTTAAGCACCGACAGCTCTGTGTTGTTCCTCCCCACAAAGTCGTACTTCGATTTGGCAAACATTTTGGGCTGCCCTCTGCCATCAGCGTCGAAGCCTCTGAAACACACCAACAAGGAAGACTTCAGTCCGAAAAAGAAAGAGGACCCGAAGCAGCACAGCAGCTCCACAGGGCCAAACACCGAACTTTAAAGGTAGATCAGTCTCCGAGGAGGAACATCAGGTCAAACAAAAACCTCTTCTCACTTTAAGTCTGATCGGTTTGGATCTGACGCCATGACGCTGCTGAACATCGTAAAAATGCGATGACATAAACTAAACGGCTGCAGCCGTGGAGAAATGTCCCACCGACAGATCAGAGGAGCGTCAGCCAGAAGAAGACAAAGATCATAGCGAGCGAAGAAGAAAACCAGCAACACAAAAACCAATCAGCAGCAGGAGGACAAACAGGAAGTGACAGAAGATTTATCAATATTTTAGCTGATTAAAGTTTACTGATCAATGATTATATTTCCTCACCTCTGTTTTATATTCAAATATAAATGAAATGTTCTGACGTTGATAATTAAACTGAGTCACATTCAGTAACACTTCATTAATGCATGTATTATTTTCAAAACATTTACTCAACGTTAACGCCATAACTGCATTAATGCGGCAAATCTACGTTAGCTCATTAACGCGGATCGCCCCGTGTGAGGGCTGCATAGAATCAATGCGTTAGTGCGGTTAGTTCGTTAACGCGGGTCGCTCGTTAACGCATTAGCGCCGTGAAGCCCCTTGCACGGGGCGATCCGTGTTAACTCGCTAACGGAGATTTGCTGCGTTAATGCGGTTATGGCGTTAACTGTAACGAGATTAACGCTGACAGTGCTAGTATATTTATATTCACTTATTATGAAATCTTTTTATTTATTCTATTTTAGCATGCATAAATATTTGAATAATAATTATTATTGTTATGATGTTGATGAAGAAGAAAAAAAAGGAAAATTAGATTGAATTCTTTCTTAATTCTGGTTTGTTATATTTTCTTTGTTTACATACGTAGTTGTTTAACCATTTATTACTTTTGAAATATCTTCATTTGAATTTTTATAATGAATTTCTATTTACTGTTTTCTTTATTCGCTCATGTTTGAACTTCCTCTTTTCTTTAGTTAATTTTTTAGAAATTTTGTTTTTAGTTCATCTAATCATTGTTGATTGTTGTGTGATTTTTCTTTATTCTGCTGTATTGATTTTGCCCCTCCCAGGCCTCCGTAGAGCAGAGCAAGCACAGCAGTGGGATCAGTTCTCCAGGGCGTCATGTGACCTGCAGTTACCGGTCTACACGGCGGCTGGCGGCGTGTTTGAAAGCAGCCACGGCCGTGTCCTGATCCAGGATCTGCATGCGTTTGTAGGAGGTGTTGGTGAAGGCATACCCGTCAGCAGGGGAGAACCTCTGCAGCGCCACCTGCAGCAGAAACAGAAATCACACCACGAGTGAGTACCGCGTCAGCGAGAGACAAGCTTAAATCAGAGCCACTTTCACATCCCGCCCCTTACCTCCTGAGCCACCCACGGCCTTGGGTCCTCCGGTCTCTGCAGGTTGGCGTTGGCGAGGCTTTCAGCAAGCTGAGCGAGCTCCTGCTCACGACTCGGGGTTGTCGCCGGCAACGCAGGTGGTTCCCAACCATCACGAAACCTCAGAACACACGGCGGGAAGTAGTGGTCCTTCGGCCACTCCAGCCTTTAGGAGACCAAGATGTTGATCAGTCAACCAATTAAATCAGTCGACTGATCCATCGGTTATTTCCTGTCTGACCTGCTCTTTGTCCAGCCGTCTCCCAGGGCAACCCACAAGTGTCTCTCCTCCGCCGTCCCCGAGGCGTGAAGGAAGTCGATGGCGTCTCTGGTCAGCAGAGGAATGACAACGCTACGAGCCAGATCAACGCTGCCCGAAGCCTGGATCACCTGAGCGGAAGGAGGAGGAGGGTGTGACAATAAAAACTTTTTACTTACATTTACAACACTGTTTGGGGTTGTCTTAGGTGTAGCTGCTCTGGTGTTCCACCTGAAGGTCTGAGGGTGGAACTGAGACTGGAACCTGAGATTCAAGGTTGGAGCAGCAGTTGTGATATGTGACGGTGTTTGTGGACCAGCCATCACACTGATCTTAGGTATCGAGTCCCTCATGCTCCTCCTCCATGTCAGGGGTTTGATGGGAGGAGAGATTCTGCCTCTCAGCTAAAGGATGGATGGATGGATGATAGGTGGAGCCTCTATCTTTCTTTAGTTCTTAAGGATTTATTCCAGCTCCATGCCTGAAGTCAGAGCACATACAGGAAGTAGCTGTGCGAGGCACTAACGCTGACTTACCATCTTTAGTGGTGTGAACAGGAAGTGGACCAGCTCCACGGCACTCGGGTTTTGGATGTGGTCCTTCAGCTTCCCCTGCAGACGGAGCACAGAGAGCTCATGAGGCAAGAAGCAGGTTCATCACCAACGAAACTATTCAGTCAGTATGACAATAAATAATCAATACATTTAACCTGCGCAAGAGAAAACACGGACAAAAGATTCATTTATGATCAGCGAGTTTTATATCAGCAAATAAACTGTGAGAGGAGGGAGGAAGGAGGAGGGAAGGGGAGGAGGAGGAAGAGAAAGAGGAGGTAGGAGGTACCAGCTGGTTGAAGGCATGCTTGAACTTCTGCAGACAGTCGACAAACTCGTCTTCGCTCGGAGGTTTGGAGCGCAGCGTCAGGACGCCCTCTGGTGGACACAGAACATGACAGAGGTCAGTTTGTTTAACTGAGGTCAGTCACAGGTCACATGACTCAGAGGAGGGAGGAATGATAGGTGTTCCTGTCACTCACACTAATTTATTAAAACAGTTTGGAAATAAATCAATAAATGTATTGTTGAGGAACGCAGTGATTCAGAAATCTGAAGCAGCCTGATGGGAAACAGCTGCCAGCGAGCTGATCTCTGATCAGCACATCCCTCACTCTGGTTTCAGCAGGATCTGTCTATGTGGACAGTACTGTATTGTAGTATCAGCACTTTTACTGCATATTTTGATTGGTGTGGCTCTGCTGCCTTCTCACCTCCGGGGCTTTTCTTCTTGCCCTTCTTGTTCTTCTTCCTCTTGGAGAGCTCACCGAAGGCCTCGGCAGCCTTCTGAAGTTTGGTGACGAAAAACTCAATGTCATCCAGGATGTGGTTCAGGATTTGCTGCGAAAAGGAGAAGCTGTGCTCAGGATCTTTTAATGTTTGATTCACCTTCACGGTGGCTTGCAGGTTTCCTGTATGCGTTATTTAATGATTAAACCTGAACAACAGCGCAGCGTTCAGCGCTCTCAGCTCCCTTATGTAAGCAGATTTGCTCTCCAAAGCTTCCAAACTCTGATTATGCTTGAATGAAGCCGCCTTCTTCAATCGGCTTAAATCTTCTATTGTGCCACAACCCCGGGCCGACCTCAGATTCAAGTTTAGCTCCTCCAGCTGCTCTCAGATCAGCCTTGAAACCCCACCCACACATGGGACACTCACCACATCGCGATCTACGCGAGCTGCCGTCATCTCCACCGGCCCATTGTCCTGCGACAGCCGTCTATCGTCTGCTGCAGAAGGGAGAAAGCGCACGTGTGAGGAAAACGTAACACCCGATTCATGAGAAAACATTAAAGTGTGACTGAAAACCAACACAGACATTTTTATTACTACGTCCTATCACCCATATCAGTTCCACACAGAGTCACATCACAGTAAATCCTCAAAGAAATAAAAAGCAGAATGATTCATCTGAATAAACTTTACCTGCAGCCTTTGTATTAAAAAAACAAAACAAAACTCAGTATTTGTTGCTTTCACTGTCAAAAAGAAAACAAAAGAACAAAACAAAAACAAAACCCATGTGAGCTTGAAGCAGCTGGTCAGAGATAATCCCAAATACTCTGCGAAACAAGCCGCTTAAACTCCTCCCACTTTAACCCAAATTTCTTCTGACTGGCTGTCCCTCACAACCAGAAGGTTTGAACCGCAGGTGACTGGGGCTTCTAGCAAGTGACATAACTCACCCTCGTACTGCTCATTGGTCCATGCCGACCAGGCTGCTGCACGACTCTTTACGTCCACCAGATCAGGTGACGGTGGCGGCTGGGGGGCAGGAGCGGAAGGGGGAGGGGGGATAATGCCATCGCTCTTCAGGATCATCCTGCAGACAGACAGATCAGCCAATCAGCTTCTAGGATGAGAAACTGGGCTTAGTAACCCTCAGAGTGTCTCAGCTCTTACTTCAGGGTCTCCGGCCGTTTTTTCACTTTGCTTCCTTTGGCATCCATCATGGCACTTTCTACGTCAGCTTGGATCAGATTCGCCTATCAGAGAAAGAACATAGATCATTAAGTTGTTCATCAGGATGAAACACATTTATAACGTGACATCTGACTCTGTCCAAACAGGCCGGTATTGTTGGAGTCCCACAGGGCTCTGCCCTCGGTCCTTTGCCGTTTACATCAAAGCTGAAGTTTAATCAAAGTTTTCATTTACTAGCAGCAAACAGGTTTCACAGCAAACTCCTTCATCACACAGTAAAGTCAACTTTAAAGTGTTTTAGGACTTTTGGCCCTCAGGGCTAGCTTAGTGTCTTGCCCAATCAGAGGCTGTTTACTTTGATTTCGTCGCACTGGAACAGGTGGAGGTCGGGTTTGACCTGACCCGGCTCTTTGCAGATCAGAGCCAGGATGGAGTCGTAGCTGCAGGCGTTCATCACGGCCTGGCAGTGCTGGATCGAGCCGATCTGGAAGTTCTCCAGCTCGTTCTGAAGGAGAAAAACCCACAAGTCAAAGTCGGAGTGGGTCACACTGAGCTTAAAGCTGAGGACACACTGAGAATCAGTGTTCTTTTTTTTGCCTTTTGTAATTAAAACAAACAAACAAACAAACAAACAAACAAACAACCCCCCCACAAAAAACAAAACCAAAAATAAATCCTTGTTTTTAGCCTCACCTTTGTTCCTAAGTCGATGAGGCTCACCATCTTCTCCTCCACCTGCAGCAGCATCTCCTGTGTCCACACTTTCCCTTTAGCATCGAGCAGACGGAGGCGTCTGATGCCGTCATCCACCGTGATCATCCCGTCTTTGCGGTCCAGCACAAACGTGGTCAGGTGCTGAACAGACAGATTTAGAGTAACGGCAGGAAACTGAACGTCAGCAGGACAACAGGAGCTTCAAGCGATCACAGTCACAAACAAAACAGCTTATGTTTTTTATAATTTAAGTGGTGATTTTTGGTCACTTTGTATGTGAAAACCTTAAATTTGAACACGTTTGGTTTGATAAAATGCAAGGCAAGAGGAGCAGGCGTGAGCACCAACCTCCACATGATACTGCGATGTGTCTGTCAGGCTGTTGATGCTGGTTTTGGTGTAATGTTTCCTTTGTTCTGTTAAAAAGAACAGAGAAAAACTCTTATTCTGGACTGTGAATATCATGTTTATGTCTCCCTAAAGTCCCCCTGGGAACCTGACTGTGTTCATATTTCATGACTGAAGCTGGAAATTAGCATTCAGCTTTGATTTTATGGACTCAGAGAAGGCTTGAGGAAACTGTAATGAGAAGATGGTTTTATGCTGCTCCAATGACCTATAAGTGACACTAAAGCAACACACATGACGATGCTCTGAATTAAGCAGAGAAGAAGAGTGAACCTGGACATGTGATGGATTAAAGGTGGTGTTTGCAGGAGGACGTCAGTAATTCAGCTGCTTCAGAGCCCCTCCGGAAGGAGGTGACAGATGTCATCAGCTGTGATGGGAACAAAGAGGCCACTGAGAGCCGCAGATAAGAGCCAAATCTGCATCGTCACCATTATCTCCACCCGGCAGGAGGACCGGCACACAGCTGCTCACAAATCAGCGGCAAAGCAGCAGAACAACAGCCAACAGCGACGTCCTTGCTAGAGTCCATGTGTCGTTTCAGTTTTTAAACAAACTCATTCACATGTGCACCAACAGGTAATGGTTTCACAGATTACCCATGATGCTCCTCTCCACCAAGCGCCAGGACGTTTGGCTTTTATTTGTGTGAAAACAAAAACAGCATTGAATCCTTCAGCTCTCATCACAGAGGAACGACCTGAGCTCAGGCTGGAGCTTCTTCTTCACTTGAATAAATTTCCTGTTCACACACGGAGGAGGGATCACATGAAAGTTTTGCCTTAAAGTCCAGCTGTGTGTTTGCGCGTTTTGGACTTCCTGCAGGTTAGAGGGCGGGGCTAACTGGGTTTGTTGAGACTGTGAGGGACACCATTCCGTCATTGGTCCCAGGAAATGTTAAAGTGACCTATGTGATCAAAACCGTTGTTTAATCTTGGTTACATGATCAAACACAGTGCTGACGTCTCTTTGGTGACCTGAAGCCTCCTCGGACATGGGCAGCAACTCCAAACAGCCCCTGGGCGACTGACAGGGATCAGAGCGAATTAGCAAAATAAACCTGGCAATGAAATCCTGAGCAGAGCTGAAAGTTCAAAAGTTTGGAGAACAGCAGCCGACTTTTATCCCACGAATGACCCGAGCAGCCAGAGTAACCAGATCCTACATCACTGAAAACATGTCTCAGAGGAAACACTGAGCCTCTGACGAGGTTAACCCTCAGCCGTCCAAATCCTGGTTGGAGTCTCTGGACACTGCAGATCTTCCTTCTGCCTCAGACACGGCAGAAAGTTTCAGCAGGAATCGTTCCTGCAGTGAGAACATTCACACACACAGCAGCTCCATAATCCTGCAGCTCCTGATCACATCACATTTACCTCACACTCAGCCTTAACTCAGCGCCTCCAACTGAAGTTTATATCAACAGTAGGCCCGCTGGACAGCTGTGGTAAATGTCAATGTGAGCATAAAATTTGATTTCCTGCTGATGAACTGAGGAGGCCTCAGTCAATGGCTGAAGAGTCTAAAGCTGGAGGTCTGAACTTCAGTCACATGTTCACTGAGGTAAAGTTCACTGTGACGGAGATCATAGGAGATAGAGACCAGGAGCTACTGCACACGTGTTCACAGTAAGACCTGAGGGCTAGCTCACACGAATCAAACATCTGTCCCATTACAGATGTTTGACAACACGAGTCGTACCCCCGAGTTTGGACTTCAAACCTCTGTCTGAAGATAATCGATGCTTCACAAGAAACATCGACTCTGCAAACACGTAACGCCCAAACGAGGCAAAACACGACACACACACACACACACTTTCATATCTTGGTGGGAACATCTAATTGACTTACCCTAACCATCAAAAATGAATGCCTAATCCTAACCATAGCCTAACAGTAACTTTCACACTAAAACCACATTTTGAGTCTCAAAATGCCTTCAATCTCATGGGGACAGCCTTTTGTTGCCATAACGGACTGTTGGCCCCCCCAAAAATAGTAAAATTCCAAGTTTTGGTCCTCACAAAGATATGTAAACGTGGTACACACGCAAACAAAAACACACACACACACACACACACACACACGTCTCACTGTGACTTTTCTTTTTGTGTTTGGCAGACGAACGAAGGAAATAGATTTCGTCAGATCCTGTGAACAAAGATAAAGCAGATAATGAGGTCATGGATCATGTCTAATTTCTCTGAAACCCAATAAATCAAACAAAGATTCACAGAGGATTTTTACCTGCTCAGGTTCAGTTCACCTGACTCACCTGGAGTCTCAAACTCAACTCCAAGTCTCAGTTTGTTTCAAGAATAAAAGCACCTAAATCTGAAGTAATGAAGACTACAGCATGTGGTGTTCAGAGAAATCTGTGCATGTCGTTTAGTCCTCACTGACGTCATGACCTTAAACCATTTCTAACATCAGCTCCTCTCACAGGTAACATTCACACCTGCAGACACCTTACAGTCAGCTACCCATTGTACCACCCCGATCACGGATGTCATCTCTGAACCAAGCTTTATTATAAATGAGGTCCAGAATGATCCAGGACAGCCTCACCATTTCCCAGGAGGAGGAGGGAGAAGGGAGGAAGGAGGGTCCTCACCGTAAAGAGCTTTGGCACTGGTCTTGGCTTTGTGCGTTGCAGGCTCTGGAGATGGAGCATCATGGCCGCTGGGACAGAAAGCAGAACAGAGTTAGGAAGTCAAAGGTCAGATCTGAGATCAGCTGATGATGCAACCAACAGCAGCTTCTGATTGGACGCCAGGTGATTTTACCTGACAGGGATACTGCGTGAGTGTTTGATTTTATTTCACTTCATCTCTGAGGTGTCCGAGTTTGGCTTCTGTTACAGTTTTATTTATGATGTCACTTCCTGCCTCCCCTCCTGTGCTGATCTCAAACCGGCATCCCGCCTGTGTCACTCGATACTTTTGCACGTTCACACTTTAATTCTCCGCATGAAGACGTTTATAATGAATGAGCGCGATTACAGATTACATCAGAGCCACGCCGGCACAAAACCTGACACCTTACAGGAAGCGCAGCACAGCAGCTGGTCATGTGACACACCGCTGATGATTGCCACACAAATGAATCTGTGCCAGGAACTCACAGGAAGTTATTCTTATGAAGTTATACGCGAGACCCTCTTTAAATGATTATTGACTTTATAAATAAAAAAAATCAATAATCATTGATTTCACATCAATATCCAGTCTCCATATATGACTCCAAGCCAGAGAAATTAGCTGGTCTATCCCAGATTATCCTCTTATGTGGGCAGGGACACGCTGATGTTTTTAGGGCTGGGGACAGTGAATAAACACACGAACCAGGAAAAACAGAACGGTCCTGCTTCAGAACCAGAAACCATGAGATCCGGTCTCTGCTCCTCCAGAGGTCAGACAGCTGCTTCCTGTCCACATCTCAGTTTATTTCTTAATAACACCGTCACAGAAGCAGATGCCTCGGTATAGACGTAACAGAGACCAGTAAAGCTCCTGAAGCGTGTCCGGTTTGAGTTTTCATTAATTTTTAATCTGAGGTTTTCTCAGAGAGAAGCTGAGCTGCAGTAATATTTAACTTCTACTGCTGCGAGACGAGAAGCGTCAGCACGGATAAGAAACTCAGAGACGCTTTCAGTTGGCCACAAAAATCCTCCAAAAACTGTCATTTTACAAACAAACAACAAAAGTTCTGACTTAATCATTAAAATTGTTTAATGGGCACTACTCAGTAATAACTGGAATTATTAACAAAACTGAACATTGTCATGCACACTTCAAATACATTTAAAATTGAAACTGTAAATATTTTTTAAGCTTTACCAAAGACTATACAAAAGTATGTTTTAAATAATAATTACTATTGTATAATAATTCATAATACAAGACTTACTAATGAAAGATTTCAGTCGTTACAATTAATCTGCAGTTACGCTTAAATTTACTCAGTTCATTTACATCACAAATTTATGGTTGAATTTTATGGTATTTTTTTAAAAAGAAAAGTTGTAGTTTTGTAATCTTATTTTGAAATCTGTTGAATATTTAAAACTAATACTTACCAAATTGTTTAAACTATTTTAAAAAATAGCCACAAAATATACACACAACGAAAATTGAAACTGTTCAAAATAAAATGTTTTATACATTAACCTCAGTTATTTACTTAAAGAATTGATGAACGAAATTTACCAGAGTCCAGTAAAAGCTCAGTATTAAAATAAAACTTTAAAAACCTGAAGAGATTCTCTTATTTCAGAAACAATCAGTGTCACAGAAACAGCACAGGTTATGCCTCATATCAGAGTAAGCATTATTAACAGTGTTTCACATTCAAAAAGTGACCATGTGAGCTAACGTGGCTAACATGGCCAATAGCAGAAAAGGCTGCTGGGAAACTCACTTGATGGGCGAGCTGTAGGAGCCGAAGACGCCCGAGGCGAGAGCTGGAGGTTCGTATCCGTTCATGCTGCTTCACGGTGGACCATCAGCTGGAAGAGACGCAGACGCACCATGAGTCACATGACCACACTGCTGGGTCAAAGGCTAGCTCCGGGTAAATGTAATACATTTATCGGCTGTGACCAAACATCTGCACAAAGCTCATACCTCCTGACACTACTGGAATGCACTGGTGCCGTAAAACCACAATTTTATTGATATATGCTGAGGCGTCAAAACTCATCATTTTACTAAAACTAAATGAGTGGAAACGGCACAAAAAAGGCCAAACAGCAGCTCTTCAGAGGCCTGTGGGTCCCCTAAAACTCTATAACTCCTAAAAGCTGAAAATGAAGCTGCCACGCTGCCGTTCCTCTGACATCCAGCAGAGGCAGCAGTGGTTCAACCTGTAAGTGATGGACGCTACGATGACAGAGCAACCACCTGACCGCCAACATGGCTGCTGCGAGTACTGCCAGAGCATCCAGGATGGCTGCTGAAACGCGAGGGTTTAATCTGGATGTTTCTGAGTGCTGAGTGGCGAGTCGCCCTCAGAGAGTTCATCTCATTAATGGCTCGTTGGGCGTTCCCCACGGAGCGGCAGGGAAATTAAAACTGCGTGGCACACAAAGGGGGCCCCGAGCATATTTATGGTAGTTAATGACACAGTATGTACAGTGCAGCCACGCGTGATTACTTTTCCCACAGCGCCATTCAGCTGGGACTCACAGCCATGGTAACCAGGCTGCAGCCATACTGTTTGTGCTGCAGAGGAGGAAAACCTGTGAGACCGCAATCAGGGAGAGATGAGTCCACAGCAGGAAGTGATGTAACGACAGCAGAGTGAAAATACCAAAACACCATCTCAAAATACACTGGCTGGTTAGCTCCTCCGATCATGAGCCCTCGCAGGTGACAGCAGCAGAAACATGAGGACACAAAGGTGAGGAAGAGTCAAGGTACAGGTATTACAACCCAAACCAATTGAGACCAGGGCCAAGGCCGGATCTGTGACCTCATTGAGACCCTGCCTCCAGCGTGACAGGAAGCCATCACAACCCCAATTAAGCCCAATATACAAGGCGCCGTCAATGTTTTCAAAAGGTACAAAGACAGCAGATACAGAAAGCAATGAAGAAGAACCAACCACATAATCCGCTGTGTGCTTCTCCACTAAACCAATACAATCCAAACGCAGGAACACCGCCACTGATTAATGACGTTCAGAAAATTAATTTTTTTGAAAATCCAGTTCAGCTCTAAATGTTCATGTCTGAAGGCTGTGATGTCTCTGGTGGGCGGTGACGCTACTGCAGGATCGTTTGAGTGTTTCGAAATTTGAATGATCATTTACGTTTTACTCCACCATCAGCATCTGGCTTGATTCTACACTGATTCCAAATTTGTCATCCTGACTTTAACTTGCTCACCTGAGCACGTCCACCCACCTGTGCAGCCCCAGTGGCTTTAAATCCTCATCATTACTCCCACAAAGCCCCGCCCACTCTGATGGATATGAAGTAAATTTTCCACCACCTCCTCCTGACACCCCAGGAAGCTGAAGGGGTCAAAGATCACGCTGGTTAGGCTCAGTTTTGTCATCTCTATTTGCTCTGGGAGGAGATGCGGTCACCACGGCGAGAGCCACTTCTTCTTTTCTCACTTATCTTAGGCGGGGCATCAATGGCGCTGTGAGGACAGCAAGCTTTACGATAACGAGGCGTTTACAGCATGATTGTTTAAATAGAGTTTCCTGAACGTTTCCCGGTATCCTTCACTCAGCAGGAGGAAGGTGGGGATTAGGTGTGTGTAGAGTTAAAGCTCCTTACCGATCCTGTGACACACACTTTAATCCTTTAAATGCCATGTGGATTTCAAAGTAAAAGCACACAGATTTAAACTGGTTTGTAGTGCTGGGCGATATGACGATATATATCGTGTGAACGATAGAAAAAAATGGCTATCGTACCGTTTGTCTTCTGTCGTTTCTAACCTAATTTTATAATTTATTACATAAAATATA